GGACAGGCTTTCGTTTTCAATGCGCAGGGTGGTTGAATTATTTACATAGCACTGATAACAGGCCAGCGGTCACGAAGTGACACTGTCAAACTACGGATTTCTGTTTACCGAACAGTAAAAAGGATTTTGGAAGATAGAAGTGATTCTTTTCTGTCCGTGAACCTCAAAGAAAATGGAAGTGCTCGTCGGACTAAAGTTTCATTGATTAAAGGAATTATGTGAAGCGTTTCTTTATAAAAAAGTAAGAATAGGGAGTGGAGAAAAAGGCTACAACCCTGCACTAAGAAAATTTCAAAGATTGTTTTTATGTGTTCCATACAATATTTTTTGCAGTGTGATCACCAAATGATATCTATGTGTCGGACACATAAATAATATGTGTATACATAAACATATGTGACCACACATACAATTCATTTGACACATACATTTCATGTGAACTTCCGAGTGGATTCTGTGTATGTGGGGTGAAAATTATGTGGAATTTCACATAGAAATTCGTCAATAAAAATGTGTGGAATATTTTGAGTGTAGTGTAGGAGAAGCATTTTGTACGGACGTGGAACAAAAAAAGGAAACCAAGGGAAACAGTAGCCAAGAACCAATAAGAAAAAGTCCGTGTCCGGGCCTTTTCTTTTCGGGCTTCTCCTTCTTCTTCTTCTTCTTCTTCTTCTTCTTCGCATTTCAAGCTTATTGCATATCACATATTAGCTTATTGCGGGCTCTCAACTTAGTGTTCTAGATGCACCTCCACAGTTATTAATTGAGAGTTTTCGATGCCAATACCATTTTTGCATTGATATAATTGTGTGGCAAGTCCAATCATACCTATGCCCAGGGAAGTCGAGAAATTTTCCAACCTGAAAAATTCCTAGACCGGACCGGTAATCGAACCCAGCCACCTCCAGCATGGTCTTGCTTTGTAGCTGCGCCTTTACCGACTGAGCTAAGGGAGGCCTCGTGGTCGAATCTCAGAGGAGTTTATTCCATCCCCAGCCAACCCTAAGACAGATTTCGGTTACTACTGCAGTGCCTCGTAGCTACATCAGGAACCACTGTCGAGGTGTACCAGACCGGAGATCATTCCTACGTCATCTTGGAACGTGTGTCTATCTGGACCGCCAAGCATCTCACCGTCCTATACGCCATCTTGGGAGTAAGATCGGACAGAAAAGTGAGACCAACATTGGGGAACTTGACCACCAGCTGCTTCGAAATCGAGACAAACGTTCCAGTTCATGTACGGGACGCCCGTACGGGCCAGCTATCCATCTGCCGAGCACACCTGTTTCGACCGGTAAAGATTCGGCTAAAGGTCAACAGATCGTCGTTGGAGAGCCTTCCACTCGTTCAACCCACCCATCAAAAGCTAGCCACAGCCGTCGCCGTTCAACAGAATCACCTGCAGAAAAAAGCGCAAGTTAAACACTAAAATGTCTTTCTCTATTACTATTCTCTGCCCCGTCTGGGCCAAATAAATTGTCAAGCATGTAAAAAAGAGTTTTTTGATATTACTTTAAGATACATTGCCCAAAAAATATCTTTTGACGTAGGATTACGTCTTTCGGCAACATACAGGGTATTTGGTTCCGGGTTTTACATATTTTCAGGGTAGATAGGGCTCCTAAAGTTATGAAAAAATCCCCATGAAACATAGGGTCGGAAATGACTGCTAAGTGAGTTATTCAACATTTTATGTTTTTTTGTATTGTCAACTTTGGTTAGCTATATTTTTTTAATCTTAATGTAGTTTTCTGATTTCAACATACTAAATGAAAGATTAAAGTCTTAGCTATCAATGCTCTCTAGTAAAGAACTAGATTAAAGTTAATTATCATACATTAAAATTGAAAAGTATGTTGAAAGTACCAAAAAACCTGGTGAAATTTCATACATTTTAGTGTTTTTAAGTTGAACATTTTCATTTCTGTTTATTTAGTTGTTCTACAAAACATTTTCCATGCAGTTCCCTAGATTTGTGCCTTTGGTAGTAACCTTGTAGGCTTTATGGTTTCTTCGTAATTATTGATTTAAAACAGCCATTTTTATGACGTGACGTTTGTGACGTTTTCGTAAAATGCGCTATAGTCACCCTATTCGTTCGTACGTTCGGCTGTTGCAGTGGACTACGCACATGAAAATTTGGTAGAATGTTATTGTAAATGTTTAGCTACATTCTTAACTTTTGATTACCGCACTGCTCCTGCGCCGAAAGAAAACATAACTGCGGAGATGTTCCGCGGTATCGAATATTGCTCAGTCTCAGCAGAAAACACAACGAGAGACACCGAATCGTTGAATTCTGAGAGCGGAAGGGAGAGAAGTAGGTAGTGGTAATAAGTCGATGTGCTTTTTATTTCATAGCACTCGCAGCTCAGCTGCGGTGCTGTTTCGATGGTGGAGTATGGAGCTCCGCTGCTTCTGTGTACACACAGTTTTTTTTTACAGGAGTTAGTATTTTTACTGGATTTTTGGATTACTAACTCGGATAAAATTCAAATGACTTTTATTCGTAAAGATTGGATAAAATCGAAAAAAAAATATTTTTCATCATTCCACGGGGTTAACAGAAGTTAGTCTGTAAATTTTCGTAACACATTTTCTCAACTTTGAATTTTTCACAGATGTTTTAAATTTTACCGAAGAGTTCCGCAATTCAAAAACTCGCTAAAAATTACTGACTTGATAAGTGTGTACTGATGTATGGTTGGTGAAGAGGCTAGCATGTGGAGGGTATTCTCGGGCTAGTGAATGCCACCCATCCCCATTTATAATTCAGTAATACACTATTTATTCATTTTTGTATGATATTTTTACAAAGTTTGCAAACAGAAATGAGTACTGCAGTGTACCCAACTAACATTTTCAGCATTATAAGCCAACTTTTCCAACGTTGTGCTGTAAAGTAGCTGAAACAAAGCTGCAGATACAGCTACAAGCAGAAGCTTGCAAAATAGTTGTGGAGAGCGTTGACTCAACGTTTTCACAACCATTATTCAATTTGTCAGACGCACAGAATAACATCACCCAATAAACGCTTATGTATCTCTCTCAATTCAACGATCAGCTTGACAGCGGATCGGTTCTACACTCTCACCAACTTGCACGGATCTCATAAGCCGACCATGCGGTTCGTGCTGAACGGTGAACGATCACTAATACGTATTCATTTTGCATTGCATCTCTAAGATTGGAACAGCCATGCCATTACGTCTGATTTTCTCACTCACATCCAAAAGGCATTCTCACACGCAGACCAACGAATAACCGCTATGTATCAATACTATCGTACAGCAGAGAAAATAACTGAACCGCTATGATTCTACTGTTGTAGTTTAGATTACACTGCAGCAAACAATTTATTTCAATTTTTTTTTCTGATCAATCTACCTAATCCGTCCTATTCCCTACATTCACCGGGGGGTCCTAAAGGGTGTCCACGATGAAATTGCCACACACAAAATTGATTCGCAAAATTCGAGTTTTCATCCGATTGCCATCAAATTTTCAGGGATTGAGAAATAACTATTAAACTTCATTTTACCATTTTACTCGTATTTTATTTACAGTCCATACGCAAATGCCCGCACCTTGGCCTTAACCCCGGCCATAAGATTCTGCACAACCTATGAATCAACCGTTTTTTGCATGTAAACCCATACTTTCTTCAGTTCCTCGACTGTCTTCACTACCTTAGGTCGTTTAAGAAGGTGCTGCTTCATAATCGCCCAGTACTTCTCGATGGGGCGGAGCTCCGGAGTGTTGGGAGGGTTGAACATTTTCGGCACGAAATTGACCTTATTGTCCGCATACCACTTCAGCACGTCCTTGGAGTAGTGGCATGAGGCCAAATCCGGCCAGAAGATTGTTGGGACGTTGTGGGCCTTCAGGAGAGGAAGCAGCCGCTTCTGGAGGCACTCTTTTATGTACACCTGTCCGTTCATCGTGTCCTGGGTCACGAAAGGTGCACTCCGCTTCCCGCACGTGCAGATGGCTTGCCAAACCAGGAATTTCTTCGCAAATTTGGACATCTTCTGAGTGCGGACATGCTCCGGAACGCTGAACTTATCCTTGGCCGTGAAAAACAGGTTGCCGGGGATCTGTTTGAAGTCGGCCTTCACATATGTTTCGTCGTCCATGATGCAGCATTCAACTTTCGTCAGCATGTTGAGGTACAACTTCCTGGCACGGGTTTTGGCGGACTTGTTCTGCTTCTCGTCGCGATTAGGGGCCTTTTGTACCTTGAACGTTCGAAGCCCAGCCTTAGTTTTGGCCTTCTGGACAAAACTTCGGCTTAGGTGCAGCTTCTTAGCCACATCCCTAACGGAGGCGTTCGGATTTCGGTTGAAGGCCCCAACTACGCGGTTGTGATTTTTGGTGTTGTACGGAATACTTTTTCCTTCACTTTTGGGCTTCCGATCGGTGGTCAACCGTTCCTCGAACCGCTTAATCACTCGCGACACCGTGGAATTCGCGATTCCCAACGTTTTAGCGATGGAACGATGCGAGAGATCCTTGTTCTCGTGATGAATGCGCAAGATTTTATCACGCACGAGCTGTTCTTTCGACTCCATTTCCGCGAGTTTTGATCACAGGGCTTTAAAACTTGCAGGATGTAAATAATGCACTATGAACTAAATCCACCCAAATTTTCATTAAATTCTACCCAACGGTTAAAAAGTTAGAGCAATTTCATAGTGTGGCAATTTCATAGTGTGGCAATTTCATCGTGGACACCCTTTACTCTACCGATAAATGTGGTACAAAAACTTATTCCACAGTCTCTCTGGTTTTCTGATTGTTCTTCTGGGTCTCTCGTCACTACTTCCTGGTATTTCATCCCCTGGAGGAGCAGAATCTTCTTCTTCGGGGTCTTTTGCACTAGATGTTGACACCTTTTCCAACGATAAGCCCGGGTTTAAAGCCCTTTTAGCATCGGTGACATTTCGGGCATATTGTACGCCGCTCATTCTGAATGACAACCTTTGCTCCTTGACGTGTTAGAACTGTGTACTGTTCAGTGGAAAAAAATCGTTTGCCCCTCGGCGATGGTCTGCGTATTTCTTACTCACCAAATTCGCAACCGCGTCCTGATCTCGCCCATCAGATCTATCCAATTCGTTGATTAGCTTCGACTCCCACAAACTCGGAAAGAAGTCACGGTATCGCCACCCCACCAATAACTCGAAGGGCGTAATGCCAAGGCGTGCATGTGGCTTGATAGTGTTGTGTGCATGTACATATGCTTGTGGGGAATCCTTCCAGTTACAACCGTCTTGTTTGGCACCAGCCAAGGCTTTAATGATCCCCTGATTTTGACGTTCGACGGCACCGTTGGACTGCGGGTTCAGAGGGATCGATTTGTTGACCTTCACGCCCTTTTCTTCCCATCTTTCGATAAACTCACTGCTTTGAAATGGTGGGCCATTGTCGCTCTGTATGGTCAACAGCAATCCCCAGGTCAAAAAGATTCGATTGAGTGCCATGTTAGTACTCTTTGCATCAGTACTTTGCATCTCCACAGCGATATACCTTGAAAAGGTATCGACCACGACTAAAAATTCCCCTGATCCACAACCTGGTACGGACAAAAAGTCAATTTGCAGCAATTGCCATGGTCCATCGGGCAAAGAGCGATTCGTTAGAGGTACTGGTGGATTCTTTCTCGAGATAGCCAGACATGTTGCGCTACCCTTTACAAACAACTCCACATCCTTACTCATATTTGGCCACCAAAAGTACTCTCTCATAAAGAGTTTCATCGCCGCGCATCCAATATGGCCTTGATGAGCCGTCGTCAATACCTTTGTACGAATAACAGTAGCAGGCACAATCTTATCATCCTTGAAAATTATTGACCCTAACAAACGCAGAGATTTCGATTCGGCCTCATATCTTCGGAGATTGTCTGGCCAACACCGAGATCCTATGGACATTTTCACTGCGAGATGCTCTGTGTCACTTTCCGAGGTCTGCTCTATATCCTTCCAAGTGACACTCATCAGTCCGCTATCCAACGGATATAGAAGGTGCTTTTCATCATCTTCATCAAACGGTTCGTCTTGGCGAGTTTGAGCTATCAAACGCGATAGGGCATCTGTCACGTTTAGATGACCCGGTATACGCTTTACGACGAAATCAAATGCTTGTAGCCTTAAGACCCACGACTCAGCCCGAGTAATCGCCCGTTTACTTGTTCTGTGTCCGTCACCGAAAATGAACTCGTTTGCCTCAGAGTCAGTCCGGATGGCCGATTTTCCGGTCAATTAAAACGCAAAACGTTCCACTCCCCATACGATCGCCAGTGCTTCTCTCTGGGTTTGCGGGTACTTTTTTCTGTCTGCGTCAAAGCCTTCAAAGCGCATGAAATAATGCGGGGTGCTCCCTCCGGGTCAAATTAAAACCAAAACCGCACCTAGGCCCACGGGAGATGCATCCACGTAAAGTTAGGTCTAGTTCTCGTAACTAAAATAGCCTAGCCGGGAAATCGACTTCAGGGCTTCTTCTTCTTCCCGGGACCAGTAAAACAAGTCGGACTTTGCTAGCTCCTTCAAGTTCTTGGGGTTGTCTCCCCGCATATAAATGAACCGCTCCGAAAAATTCATAAGTCCCAAAAAATTTTTTACTTCATGCACGGTCTCTGGTCTACGGAAGTTCTGAATTGCTTTCAATTTCTCATCTTCAACGCGCAGGCCTTCATTGGAAATTGAAAACCCTACGAACTTAACTTTTTGCTGACCGATCACTCACTTGTCCATATTGATCCGCACATTATGTTCGTGAAGCCGACAGAGCACAGCGTTCAGGTTTTCGTCGTGTTCCTCTTTTGTTGCACCGTGCACTATTACATCGTCTAGATAGTACTTCTGATCTCGGCATCCTGCTAGTACCTTTGTCTGCAATATTTCCTGAAATATATCAGGAGCATTGCAGAGTAAAAAAGGTAATCGTTTGAAACGGTACGTAGCGTCACTCGCAAAGAAATTGGTCAAATGCCGCGACTGTTGAGCAACTTCCACGTGTAAGAAGGCGCTGGTCAAATTGTTAGTGGAAAACCACTTGGGGCCATGGAGATCAGAAAGAATTTCTTCCAGTGTAGGCATTCTGAAAGGCGTTCGTATGATGCACTTATTGGGCCCTCTGAGGTCCACCACTAGTCGAATATCGTCTTTGTCCTTAGGCACAACTAACAACGATGAGCAGAAAGACCTATCCATGGAATCCGTAACATGTTCTATTATGCCAGATGCCAAGAGATCTCCCAGTCTTCACTGTGCTTCTGCTAGAAATTGCAAGGGGATATTCGTGAAAACGTTGCGAGACGCGAGTCTGCTTGCATCATACTTTAATACCACCGGTGGAACATTAAACTTAGGGAACTCGTCAGATGTCATTACAGCAAGGATCTCACCAGGGAACCATCTGAAGCAGTTACTGCAAGATAACGTCTTCTCAACGGGTACGCAAAAATGGAGCGTCTTCGCAAAAATTTCCTCGTTTGTCTTGTCCAACTCGTACCCGTGAATTTTATCGACGAGCTCTGTCAACGATCCTCCCTTACGAAGTATCTTACGACCAGCTTCTCGCATCTTAATGCTGAATGCGCGCAACTGTACTACTTCCGCTACTACCGTTAACTTGTCACCATCAAAGTCACACAATTTAGCCGCCGTAATTACTTCACAAATTTCGTATCGGATTCATCCGATACCTGTACCATCGCTCTTAACTTCTGTCGTTTCATAGCGTTCGAGTAAGTTCACTACATCCGGTGACGTTTGCGGGGGAGTGCCCTCAAGAACTTCCAACAGTTTGAATCCGGCCTTCACCTTCAGTACGTTCATCTTAGTGACTTCATCGGTTATGCCAACCAGATCCATAGACGCTTCTAGTAATCCCTTCCAGGTCTCGAATGATTTTCGGTCGATTTCATCATCATTCTCTGCCAGTTTGCATTCCGGTGTGTTAAGAGAAGCGACCGAAAGTGTGTCGTTGAGTGTCCAGGCATAGTAGCAGTGTCCTCATTGAATCGCGACCTGAGTTCACGAAGCTGCTTGTTGTCGGCTCGTACGTGTTTCAATTTTACGGACAAATTAGAACTTTGCTTCATCTCGGCTGCCAGAGCCTTTTCCAGTTCCGCATCAAGCGTCTTATTTTTTCTCTCCAAAGGCTTTCCCAAAACGCGCTAAACACATGAACATATCGAAAACGTCCCTCTTAAGGGAGCTAGATGTATAATACAGCTTTCCCAGAAGCACTTGAAAAAAGTCAAAACGCACACGGCCGTTTTTAGGGCCTCCTCAAGGCTCAACCTGTCTATAGAAGGTATGGAATTGTAGACCTGAATATATTGGTGCAATTAGTTTTTCCTCGGCTTTCATTCCGCACGATTCGTTTCTTTCGTTTAATCAATCATTCTTGTAGTGACGTCAAAAAGTTTGTTTCGATCGGCGCTTACATAGGAAATTTAATATGCATTATAGATTTTTTTGTACGGGAAATGGCCCTAATGTCGGTCATGGATCTAAGATTGGGCCCATCGCTAAAATCTGCTACTTATCAATTTTATCCAGATGAACGCGTCATTGGGACGGTACTAATGGATATTTTTGATTGCTATTGAAAATTTAGTCGATTACTGAATTTATGTATGAGCCCAAATTTGGGGCATTTAGGCCGACATTACATCCATTTCCCCTATGTTACCAACATTTATGAATTATCTGCCAATTAAACAAAATCATCATGCGGAACAAGCTAGGATTTGTTTACTTCATATTTCACAAAATTGCTTTCGAGTGTTATGACATCGTCAAAGTTTACATTTTGACATAGGATTACGTCTCTCGGCAACATATTGGGGATGCAATTAAAAAAAAACAAAATCGACCGCATTACCAAAAGTGGTCAGGTTTTGACCACTTATAACTCTGTCAATAGCGGATGGATTTTAATTCTAAACAAGCCAATCGATTGGTAATTTATCTACAAAGCTGCTTAATTGAATACTTTATTAATTTTCAATAGGTCACTAATGAAAATTACCCAAATGTCCAACTGTTGCAATGGTTATCAAAATTATCACCGATTGCCTGCAAAAAGTGGTTTTTCTAACATAGTCGCCAAATATTGATACCGAGCACGTAATCCTCTATGGTCGAGTCTTGGATACAACCTCTTACTTTTTTTTAGGATTCCGTACCGTCAAACGCTGAACCAAACGAGCAAAGTAAATAAACTTTACTACAGACAAACAAACATAACACTCACAATCACATTCTTCGCACATAAGGTTTCAGTTCGGAATGTGCTCGCATTTGTCATGGTGGCGCCACTTAACCGTCAAGCAAGTCAGCACATTTTCAACTTATCAGTGGTGCCACTTCGTTTTTTAGTCAATTTAATAGATGTCAGCTCTTGAAATAAGGAGGTAACGCAATAAATCTCGCACAACACGAGAAAAGGGCCTATCATTGATGATCGATTTTTTTTCAACGATTTTCTCTTTCGCGAATAACCTGACTCCAAATAAATTTCCCATTGAGTGTAATGTTTCAGGTGCAACCTAACATCATCTTCTGTCGAACTGTGCTGCGAGCTTAGCGATAAATACGTTTATGTTGCCGTGTTCAACCAAAGAGAAAGTCGATGAAGAGAATCTACACACTAAGATTTTTTACAGGAGTCAGTATTTTTTTACTAGGTTTTTGAATTGCTGAAAAAGTCGGTAAAAATTCAAATGACCGTTATCCGTAAGGAATCAATGAAATCGACCAATTTTATTTTCTATCATTAAATGAGGTTAACAGAACTAAGTATGTACAAGTTCAGAACAAATTTTCTCATTAATAAATTTTCCACAGATTTTTAAACTTTTACCGAACAGTTCCGCAATTCAAAAACTCGGTAAACCCGTACTGACTCGATTAGTGTGTATCATCGAGGATAGGCCCTTTTCAAATGTTAAGCGAGAAATCACCTTTGTTGATGGTGATGATGTTGGTTCCACCGCTTACCTCTAGATTTGAGCTGGACGATTTATCTGTAAGATAATTAAGTATAACATTTAACCAGATTAGCAAACAAAAACGAACTGGTTACAGTTACAGATATAAATTTCCTCAACACTATTCAGTTGCTTCACAGAGCTTTAAATGCGAAAAAGCTTCGGCGTTCACCTCTTTGTTCACTCTTTTGTCCACCAAATATTCACAAGCATTACCAGCCTCGTTCCCAGCAACCAAGAGTTCATGAATAATCAACAAAGCATTCTAATACACTAGCAATCCCGCAATTTGATGCTATCGTAATTTTCAGAAACGTCAGGAATGCATTGAATATTACATTCTAAATGCTGCGTATTGGTCTTTCCACTTGTCGTGTAATATTACGTTATACGATGTACACATATTTTGACAACAAATCATTTTAATGAGTGTAATATTGTGCACAATTTTACAATCAATGATTTCAATAAATCATCATGAATAATATTGATTAATATTTTTTTGCTGTATACATATTAAAATGATGGGCGGTGCTAGAAAGGTGATACAATATCACGATTAAAAGCTTGTTTCCAGCAAAATAAAAATCACGCAAAACAGACAATACAAATCCCTAAAAACAGACTAAGCTTCTGTCATACGGATCCGTATTTCTGATAAATTCAATCAATGCTGAATATTTCATAGAACCGGCACCACTGACTTGCATTTCAAGCCGAACATTGCATTAGGTCCTAAGTAACATTTACAGATTATCTTCGTCGACTTTCTCTTTGTATCTCCACGGCTATCTTAAGACATTTCCAGGAATTTTCAGATTTCACATATCGATAAAAGAAGCTTTCATCTACCATCTAATACGACAAACACAACAAGAAACGGTTATGTGCTTATGTTATTAACGAAAGAGAAAGTCGACGAAGATAATCGATCAATGTTACTTAGGACCTAATGCAATGTTCAGCTTTTGTTAAGTTATTTCTTTAGTGGTGTTGAGTACTTGGCACTGATGAAGTCTGCAAGTAGTAGACGAAATACGCGTATCTGTCAAAAGATAAACAATTATAACGGAATTTAAAGGAAATAAACCAGCACACTCAAAGCTCTTCATTGAGTTGTTTTTACTCAACACAGCTGACGCGTTGACATACCGAGGGAAAAGCAACTAGTGAAAAAAATGCATGGAAGCTTCGGTTGCAAATTAATACTTCGGAATATGCAAGATAGAGGGATAGAGAATTTTCTTCTAAGAGTTATGTCTGTTTGTCTGTGACATTACTATGAAGAGCTTTGAGTGTGTTTGTTTATTTCCTTTTAATTCCGTTATAATTGCTTGTCTTTTGACAGATACGGGTATTTCGTCTACTAGGGGAAATGGCTCTAATATTGGCCTATGGATCTAAGATTGGGCCCATCGATAAAAATCTGCTATTTATTAATGTTATCTAGATGAACGCGTCATTGGGACGGTACTAATGGATATTTATTGGTCGCTATTGAAAATTTAGTCGTTTTCTGAATTGATATATGACGCATTTCGCGCCAAATCGAATCGAAGCTGGCAGCACCCTCTCAGATTTCAATGAAACTTTCTGGATATGTGGACCTTGACTAAATATGCCACTTTGCATACTAAGTTTTTCCAAAATTTATCTAGACTAACATTTGAGAAGGGCCAAACTTTTTCTGCCGATTTTTTTTCATAAAAATATTATGGAAAAATGACAACTCCAACAAAAATATGTTGTATCGATGACTATTAGGAAATCGACCAAATTATCGAAAAAAAAACTGAAAAAAAATTCATTTGAAACCTACACTAAAAAAAATCGATTTTAAAAATTTAAAGTCGACTTAAAAAAAATGGCCCTATTTGATAAAGATGAAACTTTGCCTCAATATAGGTAATTATGTTTACTACCATCCGTTCATACATCGCGAGATGGGCACTTTTAAGGAAAAAAAGTTTTTCTTACAAAACTGAAACTGATTTTTTTAGCGTACCATTTTTACTAAACTAAACCAGTGAAGCTCAAAATCATCTCAGAACCAAATGAAGCTCCATTTGTGATTCAATTTTGTCTAATCAGCAACTAATCACTTGGATTAATCGAGAATTCCATATGAAAAGGGCTTATATAATTAGAAAATAATATAATTGATTATATTGTCTACTACATAGGCTAAATCCGATACTCCTATAGCAACATAGAATTCTTAGCTCAAATTATCCATAAAGAATTAGGTATGAATAAAATTTAAATTGAGATCTTCTTTCGAATCAACAACGATTTGGGAAGTCAACGTATCGCATCATAATTCTATATGCCCTTCTGTTATACCTAAACCATTAACATTATATACCTACCACTTCATTCTACCTATGAGCACTATAAAACTAAAGTTGATTTTATACAAGCAGCAGTCAATCTGATAACGAAAGTTGTGAAGACAAGTTGTAGTAAAATTATTATCATGGACCAAAGTAGTAAATTAAGGCTCAAAGGATTGAAATGTTGTGCAAATATAAATAATTCGAGATGCAACCGCAATAAGTTACGTGCCATATTGTCAACGATGGTAGAAAAAATACATTCTATGGGATATAACCACGAAATTGATGAAACGATGAGCATTTGTGAGTCATGCCGCAGCGTGATATCTTATAATAGAAGTCCAGTTATGAAAAAACGCCGATCGGTTGGAAATGAAGTAAATATCCAACCGTCAACTAGTGGGAAGCAGCATAGTGATGATCCAGGTCCATCAATGAGTGGTCATCAATCCGTAGATGAGCTAGGTAAGAACTTTTAACTGCAACCTCCTATTTGCACATAATGATTATTTTTTCTTCTTCTTTCCTTGTTGGTTCC